AAACTAAGACAGCATCCAAGTAGATAATCTACTTAGAAGTAAACTTGGCCACTAAGTGCAAGACTAATATACTATAGACTATGAATACTTGCATATACAGATAGAACTTAACTTCGACCTGGATAAATGGAAATACATCCTGTATTCATAGGTTGGAAGTCTTAACATGGCTAAAAGGGCAACAGCCTCTAAATTGATCTATAGATTCTCTGCAAACCTTATCAAACTACATCTGCCTTTTGTAGTAGTCAAAACAATCCCTACACATAACCAAGTGATGGGAGTTATAGTTCCTTATATCAGAACTTACTGTAAGAAAGTTTGTTTGGTCCTAGAATAAGGTTAGACATGGAGATGAATGAAACAAAGTAAAGATTTCAGAAATAGATACAACTAGGTCCACCAGTGAGGTTGGACACCTACCTCACGAAAACCACAAAATAGATGAATCAAAGATCAAAATGTAAAAGCTAAAATTATGTAGCACTTGGAAGACACAGGTGTAATGTTTTATAACCTTGGCATGCACATGGCCTCTTACATATGACACAGAACTCACAAAATTAACAAAACAATTACAATTAAACTGTGTAGCATCAATATTTTTAAATGTTTATTGAAACATAATCAAGAAAGAAAAAATAAGCAGCGCACAGAACATAAGGAAGTATTTGCAAACCATCTACATGATGAAGGATTAAGATCTGGACTAGATAAAGAACTCCCCACACTCAACAGTAAAAGTCTGAAAATCTACTTTAAATTAAAAGTCCAATGTAAGTGATTCATAAATTCAGAAGGTAAATCAATGCTCGTCAAAAGCTTGATAGAAGTTAGAGGGTGTTTAACTGGAACAGTTACAAGTTTCTTTCAAGGGCAATTGAAATAATTTGGAATTATAGAATAATTTTTATTCTCAATGATACTGTAGAAAGAACTCATTAATTTGTCAGAGTACAACAATAACACTATTTTGTGATAAATCAAACATGGTTTTAAATAGAAAAATTATTCCAAAGAATTTAGTGACTCTATTGTTACATAATTCCTTCAATTATAACCTACTTTTTATGTGAGCAAATCTCAAAGTTTACAATTCCGGTAATGAAAAGCAGCAATAGAAATGTTAACATTCCTATTCCAATAACAATAATCTTCCCAGAATGTGTAGAAAAGATCTACCTGTTTCACTGACATGTATCTTTGTTAGATTTTACACTATATGTCTAAGAATAGTTCTTTTTAATTTAAAAAATATTTTATTCATTTTGATAATTGACAGAGATGGGTACTTATAATATTAACACAACACAAATTAAATATTTTAACTTTCAACTTGCTTTCATATGTAATCCAGGAACACGTGCTCAGTGGTCTGACCCTCCCACATCCATTATTAATCAAAAATAAAAATAAAAATAAATGCCCCCACAACATACCTAAAAGCCAATGAGATGGAGGCAGTTCCTAGCCTGAGGGTTCCTCTTCCCAGGTGAGTCTAGTTTATGTCAAGTTGACAGGAACTAACTAAGGTAGGTAACTAACTGGCACAATTACCCATCATAACTATATGGTAAAACTCTACAGCTCAAGACAGCACCACACAATTTGGCTGCTGGATTCAGAGAGAGCAATCTCAAACCAACCAGGAAATCCCTCCCTTGTAACTTGCTTCCACAGTGTCTGGAGGTGCTATGCAAGCTGCCGAGAAATAAAAGACAGCATGGGCTCAGCTACTTCTGGACTCTGCATGCACAATACTGACCCATCAGGCAGCGCATGTCCATTGGCGCAATAGTGACTCAACTCTTCGAGGGTAACTGACAGGTTTTGATTGGGTTTGAGTCCCATACAGTGGGAGTGAATTTCATGCTGGGTTCTGAAGTTCTGGTCAAAAGGCCATGGCCAGGGAAGTCCTAAGGCCCCATGGTAGAACCTGCTGTTGTTATTTTGCTAAATATCCATGCTGTCAAGTTCCCTTGTAAACATCAGTGTTTATACTCTAGACAAGGGCTGCTCGCAAGCTTGATCAGAACAGCTTCTTTATGCAGGGGACAGCAGTCAAGGAGAGATACATGACTGGCAAAGTTCTGAGCCACAAACCGGACATTTACATTAACCCCACCATCACCAAGTCTCTGGGAACATGAACTGGAAAGAATATCAAGATCTGGAAGATGGAGGAGAGATGTGGAATGCTGTCCTCTGGACATGACATTGCTGATACAAGCATAGTCCCAAAGCAGCCAGAATCCGGGCATGGACCGTTAGATGATCTTCATGGCACTGCCCCATTCAGAGGAGCTATTAGCTCCTTATCACAGGGAAAGGGAGAATTATTATTCTACTGAGGGTGTGGCCAGTAGTAGGTTTCCTATGCTCAAGTGCATGGCTGCACACTCATGTATTTATGTGAGTTTAACTGAATTTATTGGGTTATCAAAAAATAAAACAGCAAAAAGAGACATGAGGCTGGGAGGGGGCCTGTTAAGGGAGATACAGAGAGAGTGGGAACGTGGGGGCAGCATGGCTGCATTACATATTTTGTTGTGTACATGTATGAAATTCGTTAAAAATATTTATAAAAGCAAAGAAAAATGGAAGAGATGGAAGAAATGCATCATGAACCACATTCCCATTTTTCGTTTGCAAAATCAGTTGAGTGTTGCCCATTGCCAGTTACTATTAGGCACAGCCCCTATCTAGGAACTGTTATCCAGAAGCTCAGCTATAACGTTAAGTAACATCACCCTTTTGGCCACCTACTTGGGCTAGCTCTTAATCCTCCCAGTCTTATCTGGTGCCCAGCTCCATGCCTTTGCAACCCCCCCCCCGCCCTGCTAAAAAAAAATCACTGAACGTTTTTAATGAATTGCATTGCATTTGAGGATTTTCCTGGTTTATCTCCAACTTTCCCAGACCTCCAGCACCTGTCTAGAGCTACCTCCAGCTATCTTTTAGCTTTGAGCATGGGTGAAAGCTGGCTCCAGAACCCACAAATGAGTCACTGGTGGCACGGGGTGACAAACCAACTGGAGTCTACTAGTGTTCAACTTTGTCTAATCTTGGCATAACTCAAAAGAACTTGCCAGGACTCTAGAGATTTCTTGGACATGGACTTTAAGAAAAGGGGTTTTGATGAAGAAGCATAAATGAACCAGAATCCATATGGATCAAATTTTCCTCAGATGCACATGGGTCTAATAATTAATAGAGAGAAGTGCTTTAGGCAAGCATTTTGGCTTTTATCAAACCCCCAAATACTTAGGAAAAAATAGTTTGATAGTTTCGAGGAGTCCAAACTTTGATTTGATGTGCCCACAATTAGTATCTCTTGATGTTGAATAAAAATGAGAACTATTTAGTTGTCACAGGAAACCAACAGGATTTGCTCCAAAATTACATGAATGAAAGAAAATGATACAACAAAAAAGTTCATATTTGCTTTCTTAAATCCTTCTGACATTCCAACAATTTTACTATACTCCATTCCAGCATATAAAGCATTTTCTAAAGAAGGTGATTTCAGCTAAAAAAAAGAAAAAAGGAAAAAAAGAAAGAAAGAAAGAAAGAAAGAGAGAGAGAAAAGAAAAAAGGGAAAACTAAAGGGAACCTTTGAGGTACATGACCATGATAAGGCCAAGTGCTTTGCAAACGCTCCTGTCAATTCACAGATACATGGTGGTCATCAAAGAATGGCACTATGCGGAGGGTCCTGGAAGGTGTTTGGTTTGTTTCGATGTTGTCATTTAATTCATCGTAGTGTTCCTGTGTCCCTGACCACAGTTCTAATTCTCGCTTTTCAGTAAAGCGATTGCATCCTTCTGGGTGTTTAGTGGAAGCTGGAAGTTTAGATCATATGACAAGTTGGTATGTTTGCATCTCCAGGAGCTACCATAGATGAAAACAGTGTCTAACTCCTTCTGTGTACATGTGCCCTCTCTGTATCTTGAGTCCCTTTTTTTTAAAAGCACTGTGGTTTGTAGATTCGAAAGCTCCTGTAGAAAACAGTGCTCACAGAATTGTGCAGACAGTGAGTGTAGGAATTTAGTATAACCCTGAGCTAAATATGAGTAACACACGTCTACTACACAAAATGATTTCTAAATTGTGTCATCCTCTAGAGTCTAGACACTAAAGAAGCTGTTGAGTTTTGTCCTAATTATCAAACATAATTCAATAGGTTCAGTTTCAAAATACACTGAACATGAAAACTTTCTAAAGAGACAAAATACTTTATTCATAAAAAAGAAAACAGAAATACTGTTGTAGGGAATTGGCCCTGTTTTAAAAAGATAGATAGAATGAAATTCCTTACCATGTCTAATAAACATAAAACTTGGAGACTGCTGAAGGATTCATTTCGCATTCTTTCCTGACATTTTCTCTGGCATGTGAGCCAGTGGTGGCTCATGTTGGAAGGCCTTACCCAAAAGCTTGGGGGTTCTTAAGGCTGGGGGAAGGTCAGACTCCATGGGCAGGGAGTACTGTGTAGCAAGCAAAAATGGTTGCTTGGAGACTCTTATGTGTAAGCCCTAAATGGAATTGAAAGCTTTCAGCTCACGCTCCCCGTACACCCACACAATCTGTCCTAGAAGACAGCCGTGTAGGTTGCCTGAAGTCCGCTGAAGTCATATTAATGATATGACCCTTTATCATGGGTGTTTATTTATAATCGGTGAGCTGGGTTACTGACAATTTGGCCATTAATTTGCTGTTTATAAATCATGTTTCCCATGTGTAGTCACCATAAGGCTTTGACATTCACAGCGGTGTTGAAAGAAAGAGTTTATTAAAGAAGGCAAAACAAAAATGATTGGTCTGTTAAAACTCACCAAATTGCATATGTCAGCCTAGAAGTAAAATTCTGTCTGTTAAAAACAGCGAAGGGCCTGGAGTACGGGTAAAGGAACAAAATGTGCCGTGTGTATTTACTTCACACTTGCAGCAAAGAAATCTAAGTATTCCAACCCCTGAAGAAACATAATCCGAAGTTTATATCAGATGGTTTATGGGAGTTTATTGGAATATACAGCAGGGTTCATGTCCTGTGTCACAGGTGAAACCCGTTTGGTGGTGATTTACAAGCCTCATGTGCCAGTGTTACTGGAATTTATGGAGCGCAGATGGTCCGGGGAGGCCTGCTGACTTGAAGCTGGATCAGGACCGACGCGCTGGGTGTTATCTGCTCTGGGGATTTCAGGCTCACGTCCCGAAGTTACCCACTGCCACATTTCTGTCCTGAGCTGGGAGACACCAGAGATCCTTACGATTTTATGAAAGCGTCCTCATAATCTGCAACTGTGGAGGGGGGAAAAGACATTTAAGAGAGAAAACCATGCCCCGTCCCCGTTTGCCCTTTGAAGAAGGGTGCTGCCGCTCTCTTAGCTTCCTGGGGGTACTGCTAATTGGTAGTCGACTTCTGACCTTGGTAAAAAGAGGCCACAATGACCCATGTTTTACTGTGTCCACATGATGCATCTCTACTCTTTATAACTGAAAAGAGAGCCACGGTTATAAAAGCGCCCCCAAAGCCGTCATGCCCAGGGATGAACAACCCAACAATGTGCGTTTCTTACGCGCCCCCCTCCATATGGAGACATGTGATGGTGTGAAATTAATAGTTGTGGGCTACAATGCAACAGACAACATGTTTCTCAAAAGCGTTGTTTCCTCAACGCTTTAACTCACAAATTAAGACGCTTCTGTTGGTGTGGAGCTCGCTCTCTCTCGGCGCCTTCGTTGAAGGTGTGTGACTTCTTCCTTCTGGAGACAACTCGAATTTCACAGTGCAGCTGACTGTCCTTTGACAAGGAGGGTCTTTTAGAAAGAAAGAAGAACCCGTGACGGGCGTGGCGCTGCCAGACCTCTCTCTCTTTATTGAGAAACTGCGTCGAACAACCCAGCCGTAGCTAACATGTATCTCTAGGTCTTCACTGCCTTTGAGCTCCGCCCCCGCCCCCAAGGATCCCAGCGCTCCAAGCAGGCACCCTCACAGTTCTTGGAATAGCAGAATGAACAAGAAAGTTACTCTTTGCCCATTGTTTCCTGATTCAGCAGAAATATAAGACCCCAGGTCCAGGCAAGCCTTGTCTACAAAAATGTCGTGGGTGGCCACATAAGCACTTCTGAGTGTCCCAATGGCCACTCTAAAAGTAAAGGAAAATCGATAAACTTGGGTGTGACCAAGATACTGCCATGTGGTAAACAATCAGTGTGATTTCGTTTACAGTGCTTTTTTATACTGCATTTTCAAAATTGAGGATGAGCTTGACAGGCAGTGCTCTCTGTTCACACTACCCACACTCAGAGGGCTCAACGGTCACCCGTGGCTTCTGCATTGGGTACAGAGCTTGTAGGCTATTTCTGCTATGAACAAGTCCCTTCAGAAAGGCTAAAGCAGGTAACATCCTAAATGACCTTTTCCATAACAAGTAGCCAGGCACATGAGTTTAACCACCCCCCCAAAGGCATGCCTGTGCTTGTGTGCGTAGGGTGTACATATATATTATTTTTGTCTCAAGCAAAGGAAAATACAGAATCAGGAGGAGAAACAGAAGGAGGGCTGTAATGGAAATAAAATCGACAGCCTCTCAAAACTCAGGTGGCGCTTTCCTTTTCCAGTTAATTACGGTTTTAATTACATGGCTTCTTGCGACTCCTTGATACCTAATAAAGCAGACTCTGTGGGGCAGCCAAGTTGGGTTAGCTTGAACTGCAGCTGTGAGACTCAGCGTGAAACATAAATCAACTTCTTAAACACATTCCCAAGGTGGGTGAGAGCTTTCTCTTCCTGTTTGCTTGTAAAAATCCCATCTTTTCACCATTGTTGGTGGAGAAATGATGGAGGCCGCCTATGGATTGAATAATAGCTCTGTGTTTTTGACTCACTTGGCCTGGCATACATTTTACCTCAGATGAAATAGAATAGCATAGTATAAGATTTGGGACAGTTTTCCCTCCTTCAGTCTTACAAATAATATATATGCCTAGATATTAACTATTTCATTTGAGCAAATAAACACCCATTCAGGAAAGCAAAAACCAAAAGCCCTGGAATGTACCAAGAGTTCTGGTTTGAGTATTTGGAAGCCTCCCTAACATAGTGAGGGATGCATTTTTTCAGAAAGGAGCTTGTGGGGTCAATCAAGTTCAAACAAGGTCAAATGTGTGCGACTTTGCATATATACATACAACGGCACAGGGGCTCCGCTGCAATAGGAATTGAAAGGGAGGGGAGCATTCCCCAAGTTCTCATTGGCTGAAAACCCAGCAGCATCTGATGGCATTATGAGCAGCTTGCAATTTAGCCTCAGCAGCCAGAAAATCTGCAGTTGATCAGCTCTGCCATAACTAGTAAATGTCACCATGGTAAATGTGGGTTTCAATGGAAGGGCTTGCAGCGCCTAGTGATAATTCTGCTGGGTCTCCTTCTGCCCTTCCTCCATGCATACAAAGAAAGTGCAGCATATGGTGTTTGCATGTTATCACAAAATATGAGATATGGGGTGAAATAAATTGTGTGTGAAGGGGGTTTAGCCCATAATTTCTAGTAATTTCAAAACCATGAAAATGGCTTTTGAAGTAGGAAAGAGAGCTTCTCTCCTCAGAGGGAACTTCAAAACGCATCACATGCTATATAAACACAAGTAAGTTTACCTTACAGGGGCCTCCCTTTTTTATCCTCAGATTCCTGGCTAATTGTCAGTGATGTCTGTTCCAACAAGAACTTTCTTTTTCAGACCTGAATCACTTGAATCCAGCCTACTGGCAGCGAGGTTCTGTTGTACATAGGAAAGTCCAGGGAAACGCCAGCAGGGAAGGTGGGTAAAGGGAGGGAGTTGCTCCCCATCAGTCTTTGTAAGAAGGGAGATCCAAAGTTGGTAACCAACTGTTGCTCCTCCCAAGCTCCCTTCCAAATTCTGAGTCCTAAAAGAGGGTTTTCATATTGCCAGAGATTGCTATTTGTTCGGATTCTCCCGTTAGCCATTACAGTATGCAGATGCTTAGACACGCCAACGGTCAAACCCGTAGGCCCAGGCTAGAAGGTGTGGTGTGATTCTTGGGGAACTCTCTCTCCTGGCCACTCCTGACCCCTGACGGTTGGTGCACTTTGACAGGTACATCTAAGACATATGGGCAGGTGTACATAAACTGTGGGGAAGCTTGCACGGGATTCATTTTTGCTTTAGCAATGAGGACATAGAAACTGGCTTTCGGAAGCTGTTGCTTTATTTTTTTACTGTAACCACAGCAGCTAGTGGCTATGTGCTGGGTCCATCCTTTATTAATATAAATGGGGGTTGCTGTGCACACTGGTCAACAGGTATTTGCTGAGTCTGCTCCTATTTCAACTCCAGGGAACTGGTGAATCAGCCTGAGTCCCCAGCCCCGGGCCTGGCATGTAGCTGGTGTTCAGTAACTATGAGTTGGACAAATAAGGTACTGGAATGCAATTAGACTTTTCCTGTTTTGGGGGCAGATAAGGCTGCAGTGGGGATTCAGTGTGCCAGTTCAGTATGTCAGGGTTGAGTGGTACCAAGACCTGCAGATGACAACATAGACCCTCCTTGAGCTCCTCGGCCTCAGTGCTCCAGCCTCTCTCAATGCTACTGAGATTGCTTTCCCTTTAACACCAAAGGAACTCCCTTTGAGGTAGCGGGATGGGGATAATGGCATGGACATTACTGACATCTGACGCTCTCAAAAAGCACTTGACTGGTCCTTTTCGTTAATCTGTGTGACTGCCTTGCACCCTGAACATCATTGCCTTCGCTGTACGCATAAGGACACTAGGGTATAAAGAAATGAGGGATTTACCTCAATTCAGGACACTGAGAACGAACATATTCTGTTTTGACCCATGTTGTGAAACCTAAAAAGTAGGTCCTGTTTGTTTGGTTCTTGTTTGTTTTCATAGCACTGGGACTTGACACGGCCTAGGCAAATGCTCTACGTCTATGTCTGAATTACATCCTAGCCCCTCTGTTTTTTTAACCTCCATTTGAGACAAGGTCTCACCAAGATGCCCGTGCTGGCTTTGAATGTTCTCTATAGCCCTTTCAGGACCTGAACTCGAAATTCTCCTGTCTTGGTCTCTTGGGTATTCAGGGTCTCAGGCTTGTCCTTATTGGGTAGTGTTTTTCAGTGGAAACATGGGACATATGTATGACTTCATTGTTTGTTTTTCAAGACATGGTCCTTCTGTGTAGCCTTGGCTGTCTGGAAACTTGCTTTGGAGACCAGGCTGGCCTCAAACTCACAGAGACCCATCTGCCTCCACTTCCTAAGTGCTGAGATTAAAGGCCACTGCCTGAGCACATATGACATTCAAAAAAATGTCAGTTTGTGGAAATACCTCTGTCTCTAACATTCACGGCTACCTTCCCCTTGGTAGCTAGCATCTGTAGTTTCTTTAGTATTCATAAGGAAATGTAAGTTTTATATGAGCATATCCACAGAAACTAGCACACACAAATAGGAGCATAATACCGTTATCCTCTAGGAATAGCTTTCCTTTAAGACTTATAGTTTGATAAACTTTTATACAAAAATTTCCATCACATTTGGGGCCATATAGTTGGATTGGCTTCTTGGTTTTGTTTGTTGCTTTGTGAATACACTGTATTTTAAATTTCTCCACTACTAGGTATCAGTTTTTAGGAATTTGATATTGTGAAAATTTTTGAAATTAATATCCATGTGTCTTCCAACAGACATTCAAGATTCCTAAAACTGTCCACCCCATTGCCCATGAATGCCGACACTCCCTGAGCTGAGGTGACAGATCCATCGCCAGATTTACCCTTCACTATCTGTGTAATGTGCAAGGAACCCTTTGTACCCACTAACAGTCAGGAATCCTCCCTTCTTCCAGAGCTGTTTACAGGTAAAACAACAACTTTCTTGTGGATAGGTTTCCCGTTAGCACATGGCAATCAAGTTGGAGCTTGTGATCAAGTCCTAAATCCAACAGTGTAATCCCTTCCCTTGCTCAGAATTTCTAGATTGCATTGAGGATTTGGATGGAAAAGTCACAGTTAAGTCTTAGGCACACTGACTTCTCAGTCTTCCTTTAGGGAACATGTAGATCTAGCCTGGGTTTGTGGCTATCTCCCAACCACAAGGTAACAGCAGCCTTGGGATAAAGTTAACAGCAGAAAGGGAACGGGGGGGGGGGGGCAGAGTAAATGGTTCTAGATAATTTTATTAGGTGGCAAAAACAAGCCAACCCAAGCTTACCCACTTTATTTCCCGTTTATGGGAGCTAGTAAGTCTTTCTGTGGCTTGAGTCTGTAATTAAGTTCGAATCCGATTTTTATGTTATCAGCAATTGAAGGCGTATTAAGAGACAAAATTAGACAGCAATGTAGACATTCCTGTAGATACACAGTTTATATTTGTGTTTCTTAAAGACAAAGTACTGTGCTAAATACTTCATAAATAGTACTTCTTTTAATCACGACTGCACTCTAGCAAAGTTGATAGGACAGCACACATCTGGAGGACAAGAAGAAGCTTGAGAAATTTTGGAGTCTGTTCCACGTTGTTGCTAAGCACCAGGGAAGGGGAAATCCCACAGTTGCAAAGCTTTCGCTTAAAACAGCTCGTATCCTCAAGCCCTGACTCCTGTGAATATGCTTTTCTAAGCAGTGCCATCTAAGATACCTTGGAGGGTAAGTCCTGTCTTTAGTGCCATGCCCTAGCAGATCTTCCTGTGTACAAAGCACCCCAAGGCGCTCACTGTCCCACCCAAGGCTCTCACTGTCCCACCCAAGGCTCTCACTGCCCCACCCAAGGCTCTGACCTCCAGAGCTTTGTGCCTGTCTTTCGCTGCTAAGCATTCCCTCGGGCTAAGTCACTGATGTGTGCTCTGTGGCACGCAACAATTCCTCAAGAGATTATTTCATTTTGCCAGAAACTTTCGTAGTCTTCACCCAAAGAGAGGACTAGAGCACCCAGGTACCGTGTGTACTAGGAAGTGGAGAAAAGGGACTTGAAGCTGTCTCCCTAGGTGAGGACATTTGCTATTTCAGGAATATAAGGACATCAAATTCACGTTCTATTAACTGGAAATTGTAACGTTTATTCAAAGGCTGGTAAGAATCAAGAAAAGCTCATCTACACAGATGAGACATAATCACTAAGAACATGGCTTTGCCGTCAGAAGATAATGAGATTTTCTTTGAATGTGCAGAAGTGTAAATTAATAAACATGCACACATACACTTGCATATGTGTGTATATTTTGCATATATATAAAATACCAGTGGCATTTTTTCTGCCTATCTGATTCATTTTCAGAAGAACAAAACTCAATTCAGCCATTTCTGTCCATGCCCACATTTTTATCCATTTGGGGCTAAAATATCTTACAGTAAGTCTTTCCATGTAACATTACCCTTATGTCTATGTCTTATTTGTATAAATGGAAGAAGGGAAGAGTGGGAGGAACAGAAAAAGAAAAAGAAGGAAGAAGGAAAAGAAAAAGAAAGGAGACTCAGAGACAGGTAGGGAGAGAAAATGAAGAAAAGGAAAAATCTAGTTAACATAAAAATAATTGCTTAAGCATACTTTAGGAATAAATATGAAAACTGCAATTATATTTATTATTTTTCTTTTCTGAAATAATTTATACAATGTTTTATTATGTGGATTTCCATCAAGAAAAAATAAAAGGACCTCACCAATAATTAATTGTGCAATTAAAATCACACACCTGAATCTCGTACAAATGTTTAAATCAATCATTTTAAAGGAATTAGTACACGGTTTCTTTTCCAGATGTTCCAAAATCAAACAAATGTGTTAATTAGCATATTTGGATCTGAACTATATTTAAGTCTCTTCCTTATAATTCCTGTTTTCATTTCCAACCCAAGTTCTTGAATGAAAAGAGGCCAAAATCTTATTTGACACCAGTAACTATCATTGAAAGAAAGGAAACACATGGCTTATGAGTCGCTAATTAGATTTAAATTACAAATACAGTATGCACCATTTGCATAAATTGGTAAAAATCTATCAAAATAAAACTTCAAAAAAATTAACCTGTTGAAATAATAATGAACACATTCATAAAAATATCCAAAACCAATTTTTGACAGTTTAAACCATCATTACAAGACAGCTTTGTGGTAAAGGTACCATGTTTTGATCTCGTGTGTGACTTAAGGACACAGCACCAGCGTATAAAGATCTCTGCTGTTAGTGAATGGCCAAAGGTGATGCTGGAGTCTAAGACCCCCAACTTCTTGGCCTGCTCTATTCATCGCACAATGCTCTATCTCCCAACACGCCAAAATAGAACTTAAGGAAAATCTGCAAGGAAGACAGGCAGGGAACATTCTCAGATATGAAAGAGACTGGGAAGTTGTGGAGCTGGGTGTGCCTGTAAGCTCAGCACTCGGGAGGCGGACGCAGGAGGATTGTGAGCTGGAAAGCAAACTGGACTGCACAGGTACATTTTAGGCCAATCTAGGCCCTTAAACAAAACCCTGTCAAGAAGGAGAAAGATGAAGCAGGAGCAAAGGAAGGAAGGCAGTGGAGAGAAGGGAGACAACAGGAAGGAGGGAGAAAGGGGAACTGTTTGATCTATGAAGAAACACTGGGTGGATGGAAGCCTATAAGCTTTAACGGATATTTTATTTACTTCCAGGTGAATCCATCTAAAAGTGCTCCTGCTTTAGTAAAAAGTGTTTGATGGCATGGCAGGGGTGAAAGGATGAAGTCTTCTAAAGAAACCCGGCACGTTGGTGAACTGAGACAAGCAGTCAGGAGGGGCACTCCACTGCCACAGCAATAGCCATGGGAACATTCCCTTCCAATGCCATTTCTTTGAGAAGACTGATGAGGCTGCTATCAAAAGTCACAGAGCAATTATCAGGATTGAGAAAACAATCTACATACAGGTCCAGTGTCTTGAATTCCATTGATTCTCTTTTTAAATCTAGTACATGGGTCAACTTCTATAAAACACAACAAGAAAGAAAAGATCCATTGCCAGCCTTGAGAGTGAATGAGCTCAGACACCAGCTAGGAAATCCTTACATCCAAATCCCTTCTTATATCCAAATGGCTTACAATGTTCCTGGAGAGTGAGATCAGGAGAACTCTCTTGTGAAGCAGCCATGGATCCAAATCTAAGTCTGACTTTACACAGACTTGGCAAACAGTGAGAACTTCAAATCCTTCATGCTTGGCCATCAAAATGACCAAAAAGAGTGGGGAATCTAATAAGAAGGTCTAGAGAGGAAAGTGATGGCTTCGTTCCCTGCAAAGGTAAAAGAATGATGGTTGCAAGGTATATTTATGTTTCAAACTGAGACATCCGGGGGTCTCCATTTAAGGGGACTTAACTGGTCACATAGGAATTAATAGGGGTAAGTAGAGAAAACCTAACCTGGTAGTTCTGATTCATCTAATTCTTATCCCCATAACAAAATGCTTGAGTTGTCTACAGGAGGAACTGAGTTGCAAAGATGAGCAGCTCCAGGGAAGCAAGAGAGTTGTGGGCACACCCCTTTAATCTATTTTCATTTTCATTGCATCTGTCCGTGTGCTAATGTCTGGGAACCTCAGTGTCTCATACGCCCTCCAGGAGCAAAAGTCTGTGAAAACCCTCAGCCTTTCCTGGTAGAATAAGCACACAGGAACTCTCCAAATATTCTGATGTTTTTACTATGAAAGTTCCAATTTAAATGATGTCAAAAAATAATCTTCTCAATAAGCAAAAGCTGGGATTTCAATTAAATAAGTGGGGATAGCAGGGAAAATTTAAGATATATAGATTTATTTGCTTTGTGAATATGAACGATTGTCCTGGATGCATGTGTGTCTGTCTGTGCATCAGATGCATGCCTGGTGCCTACAAAACTCAGATGTGGGCATCAGATTCCCTAGAACTAGAGTTGCAGACAGGTGTGAGCCACCATGTGCATGCTGGAAACCGAACCAGAGTCCTCTTCAAGAGCAACCAGTGCTCCATCTCTCCAGCTCCACAGCGTGGTTTTTATAGAGGATTTGATGGCTAAGTATCGGGTTCTCTAAACCATCTTATAGCAATGGAACACTGAGAAAGCAAGATTTGGAACTCAGGGAGAACAAGAGGCAGCTGAGATTCTGTTCCTTCTGTGGCCACAGTGTTACAGCTGAGCAGAGGGAGTTACTTACAGTGACTGTAGCCACAATGTTACACCTGAGGAGAGGGAGTCACTTACAGTGACTGTAGCCACAATGTCACAGCTGAGGAGAGTTACTGACAGACTGTAGCCACAATGTCACACCTGAGGAGAGTTACTGACAGACTGTAGCCACAATGTCACACCTGAGGAGAGTTACTGACAGACTGTAGCCACAATGTCACAGCTGAGGAGAGGGAGTTACTGACAGACTGTAGCCACAATGTCACAACTGAGGAGAGTTACTGACAGACTGTAGCCACAATGTTACAGCTAAGGAGAGGGAGTTACTGACTGACTGTGGCCACAATGTCACACCTGAGGAGAGGGAGTTACTGACAGAATGTAGCCACAATGTCACAGCTGAGAAGAGGGAGTTACTGAGTGACTGTGGCCACAATGTCACACCTGAGGAGAGGGAGTTACTGATGGTGAATACAAGAGGGGATTTTCAGGCATTTGTCAGGCAGTGGTAACAAATATTTGAGAAAATGGGGCAGGTGGGGGAATGGTCCTGGGACATTCGAAAAGGCTTGGAAAGGGTTTGTCAGACTCAAGAGAGAAAAACTCTGTAACTGAGAGATATAATAGAGAATCCTCAAAGGTAACCACTCTAGATTGAGTGGACAGCCTTGATGACAGCCTTACAGTGACTGTACCCACAATGTCACAGCTGAGGAGAGTTACTGACAGACTGTAGCCACAGTGTCACAGCTGAGGAGAGTTACTGACATACTGTAGCCACAATGTCACACCTGAGGAAAGTGTGTCCTCTAGACTGATTAGGCAGCTCTCCACGGTCCCTCTGATGGCTTTCATCGGGCCTTGGAGGATACCTCAGTGACAGGACTTGCTTGGCACTGTAGGGTACATGTTGCTTACAGAATCTAAATGTGAAAAAGAAGAAGGCACTCGACTGAGTTTGGGAAACTGACCGCAGACCTCTGAGACAAATGTAAATGGCAGAGGCTGAAGAACAAGAATGGAAACAGGGCTGGTTGGTTCCTAGCAGAGTGTCTCCACAAGCCAGGGCCTAGAGCCGGTGCAGTGGGTCAGAGGCCCCAGCCCAGAGAGACAATCACTTGCTTTACTGCTCTGCTGTTGTCATTTGAGTCCTAAATAACTTTTGAACATGAAGCATCACAATTTCATTTTGCACTCAGCCCCGCAAAATGCGCTGTGGGTCTTGATCTCCTGATACAGCACCATATAATGTCAGGGGTTTCTAATTCCTGAATCTGCTACCAGCAGAGCACAAAGAAACACAGGCAAGTCAAGGCTGAGATTCAAAGGGATGGATTTTTTTTCTACTAGGTAATAGCTTGGCCAAGGATTTATTTTCTCTTCTTCACTAATATTATATATATTTAAAGTCATTATGGCTGTGCTCTGACCTGGTGCAGTAAGAGACAGGGTTGTAATCACCAGGGCAACAAGGTAGAAAATGCCCTTCAACTCCTCTGGGCTCCATACACATTAATCTCCCTGGGACGGGGAAGTCTTTGTTAGAGCTTGGAGTTCTAATGCAGTGACTTTTTAAAAAGGGGACCAAGCAGACTTGCTAAATTGCAGGAAAAAAAAAACAGCCCTGACCTTGCTAGCCACCGAAGCAGGTAAATGTTTCATATGGAAGGAAGTCGCTGAGAGGTGGGCCTTGGGACTCTGAAGGATAGAGCTTGCAGAATTGCTTCAGATTATGACCCTGCTTAGCGCCAATCCTCACTTCAGCAGCAGTCTGGCAACATCTTCACAAGGGAAGTGATGCTTCTGTAGCACAGGAGGTCTGTAGAAATATATTATGTTTCAATAAATAAGTAAGATAATTAAAAATAATCTCTTCCATATCCCCAATTCAGTACTAAAATTAAACAAGCCTGTACATATTCCAGAGACAATAACTGAAGGGGAGGGAGGCAGAGGCTCAGATGAAAATAATATAGAGACATGCAAAACTACTATTAACTTGGGATAGATAAAAGAGTGTCAAAATTATAGCTTTTGGTAATGTTTAAGTTGAGACTGTAGTAATCTGGATATAATTGTACTTGGGCATTCGTTCTTTGTTGCAAGAAATATATTAAGAAATAAAAAATAGAGTCAGTAAGCTCACAATGAGAAAACAAACCTTCAGGGGAAGCGCCAGCTCTTTGAAAAGATGCATGAAACCCACCAGCACTAGGCTACCAGTCCCACCCCCAGGGGCCCTGCTATCAAGCTTATGAACCGGAAGTGAAGGTAGGGATTGTGGGTGTTAGCTTTATACATGCTGTCTGTTGGCTGGAGGGGTCATTTATACAGAGGAACGAGGAGGACCTGAACATGGCGGTACACATTTGTATTCCAGCTGATGCAAGATCTCGAACTCAAGGACAAATCTGGATTACACAGCAATACCCTATATGCATATATAAGTCAACAGTCAACAGAGGTGAGTTGGGAAGAAGCCATGTGAGGGTCCTGCCTTGCTTATCACCTTTAGGATGGATACTCAACTGATTGACTCACCACAAATAGCGCAGAGGACCATACTACAGTCACACGGCTCAGTGGGGACCCAATCCAGCCATCACTGGCATAGTTGCAGGATCCACCCCATGCAACCTCCCTCAGAGGAAGAGAGGCAAGTTATCTATTGTGCTATACTCATCTAAATGACTCCAAGGCCCCACTGCACCAAGACCTAGACCATCTTCTGTTCTATGATGCCAAGAGACTCCACAATGAAGGTATCTAGTAATGCCAATCCAAAGACTGATAGTTCTTAGACACTATCTTTGTGCTGCTTCCAAGATCATTACAATCAGTTTTGACCATCATTTCTATACCCACACAGTGGATGGTAATTATTTGACTCTGAGCAAAACCTTCTCTACTAAGAAAATACTCCAGGAAAACACGGTCTTATCATGAGAAACCCAAATGTTGATGCATTTGGTTTTATGAAATCGGCATCCCCTGATGATCTGTGAGAGAAAAAAACAGCCTTTGACAACCTTTGTTAAATACAACTAACTGTGTGAGAGGGTTTGCTGGTTCCCTGAGGCTTGACAAACACAGTACTAAAGAAGTGATCTGTCCTCCCAAAGCGATTGGCCTGTCAGCTCAGGGCTCTTTGGGGGATATTCTCAACATTAATATCAAAAACAAGGTTTTGTAATCCCCTCAGCTCTGCCTTCCTGTGATGCCTTCTGCCCAGGTTCATGTCTGCTGTCCTACACATTTCTCTGAACAGAGTTATGGTGTCAGGGCTCAAAAAAAAATTCCCCTGTTCCTCATGAGGGCAAAGTTAAACAGCTGGGCTTGACATGATGGCTGCATTGGTGCTGCCAAGTCCAAGTCCAAGAATGGTGACAGGTAATTCAAGGAAGAAAGAGGAGCCCATGTAACTACATTAGGAAGAGGGGAGGTAAAACTAGCGTCAATATTCTGGATGTGCTATGGAGGTGGGCTCTGAGTTCAGGCCCTTGTCCTTTGTAGACAAGAAGCAGTAATGTTTCCCAGCAGAAGAGAAAAAAAAGAAGATAAAATTTTCTTTAGAAATAATAAACCCGGTGTTCATTAGGATTTAAAGAGACAGCATTTATATTGCAATAATTCTTCTGTTCTTTCAGATGAATTCAATATATTTCTCCTAAATGTGCCTCTTCTGAAAATAAGATAATTGACTTCAGAGAAATTTTACTTGCAAATGAGATTACTTTCTCATTTGTATTTTATTATTTATTTTTGCTTAGTTCTAGTCAAAAGATCCTATGAACTATGAGTTTTAATTTATAATTAAATAACCAAGTAGCAGCAGAACAGTACTAATACGGTTGGCATAAATTGTGAGTATTTTAAATAAAGGAGTGCACTATGCAGAGACAAAGCAATATGAAAAATAAAGAGCAACAACAGCAACAAAAAAAAAGAAGCTGGGCAGCGGTAGTACACGCCTTTAATCCCAGCACTCAGGAGGCAGAGGCGGACGGATCACAGAAAGTTCCAGGCCAGCCTGGTCTACAGAGGTGAGTCCCGGGAAAGTCAGAGCTAAACAATGAAACCCTGCCTTGAAAAACAAAACGAAATATGTTTAGGCTGAATTTTAGATTCCAATTTGTCATTATCATATTCTCAGATAAATTCTGTTAAGTATAAAAATGTGAAGAGTGGCATTTTAATTAAGACTGTGTTACGGCCCTTGAGACGTTTTTGGTGGGACCCTAACAGACAAGAGCTAGTCATCTAAACCAGCCATCTAGTCACATAAGGATTTCCTGTGTCACCAGTGGCAAGGTCATAGCTTTGCTTTAAACCATCCTTGACACTCAAATATCTGGAGATAGTACACTCTGACAGACATGATGAATAAGCCCAATGGTGTGTCCTGTGGGAATTAGAAACATGGACACAGCTTCCACGACTCAGTCTTGGGCCTCTCAGCAGCGGACTTGGTTCTGCAGTGAGTCAAAACCAGTAGGAGGTATGTCTTTGTGTGCGTGTGTAAAATGTATTAAAGAAAGAAAGAGAGGGGAAGCATACAAGGAGAATCAGATTGTGCTTAAGGAGCTGGCTCTCATACCATTTGGGGAAATAAACCTAAAGTTTACCAGCAGGCTAGAATTTCAGGCAAGAGCCGGTATTGCCATTTTGAAGGAACTTTCCTCTTCTTCGGGAAATGCAATGTTCGCACCTAAGGTCTTCAACTGATTATATGTGGACCACTTACTCATACCACACAGACACATCTGCTTTGGCTAGTCTGTCACTGTAAGCGGCAGGGACATCTGAAGCCTTGCCTTCATGGGGCACTACAGTCTGTTTTTGGCCAGACATCTGTGCCCACAGCCTAGCCAATCTGGCACACGAAGTTTATTTTCACATGAGTTCTGGTCCTTGATCCCACTGACAGGTCACTTAGCATCCCTACTGTGGCTAGAGACAAGGGCTTCTCTCCCCCAGTTTCCATGTCTATGTGAGATTGAAAGTCACTCTCTCGGTACTCACGGACTCATCCCTGCCTCTAGAAATGAGACTGGGAGACCTGACTGCTGAATCTAGTAGACGTCACTGAGTGTGGACACCCACATCCTTCTGGTCTATAAGGCCTTCTGTTTGGGACCTCCCTCTCGAGATCTCTATGGCAGTGCTGATGAACTTGGCTGCCAGAGCTCTGCTTAGCAAATGGACCTTTGATCTGGTTGCCTCCTTTTGGGCTCAGGCTAGGAGCACAGCATGTGAACACTTAATCACAGCACAACATTTTTCTCTGGCAAAGCTGCTATTGGATTTCTATCTCTATGATGTTTCTGTTCATTCCTGTTGCTTTAGTGACTTAAGGAGGAGACAAAGTTGTAACTCATTGCCATCCCCGAATGCTCATGGGTGTCCCTTCTTAGGATATGCTCTGATTGGTCCATAGCCATCATGAAACAGTCATGCATAGTGGATCTGGTCTTCCTTTGTGATCTGATAGTACAGAATGAAGCCTTGTGGTTCAATCAGAGACCAGCAGGGTCCATGCTTGGAGACCTTGACTGTATCCTTTGGTCTCCTGTACCCTTAGGTTTCTCATTCACAAAATAGAGCCACTCTCAGTGACTTCCCAAAGACATTCTCAGGGTTAACCCCTATGAGGTTATGATTCTAAAGCATCTAATGAAAATGCCACACCATTACTAGGTGCTTAATAAACATAACAATACCAACATCAGGCAGCTCAGCAACTGCAACAGTTTCCCCTGGGTATGAGTCCTTTCCAGACAAGTTCTCCACCCATAGTCTGTGGTCACTAAAGGAACCTTTAGCTCTGCAAGAAGAATTTTAGACCTCATTAACTTCAGCATTGGACCGTTTGCATCTGTTACCCAATGCAAGCCTCTTCTCCGGCTCCTCACCCTGAGTCTTATTCTCTAATTCATTTAAATCATCCCACCTGCATGACCTGATTCTTGACATTCTGTCTCTAAACTCTTTGGGAAGTTTTTTTTCTTTGCTATATAAATTGACCTAAATTATAATTCTTTCAAGGTCTGTTCTATCTGTAATAATCATATGAGCAGTCTCGTCAAACTAAAGCTCTGTTCATTTACTTATTCAGTAAACATTGTTGATCTTGTTACTGTATAAAAGGGTCTGGCATGGGAACAGGAAATGCCCAGATGAAAAATCCAGTCCATACTCACAGAAGTTTTCAGACTGGTGGGCAACATGTTCAATCAACAGGTAAGAAAAAAAAAAAAAGATTGGCAGTATGTTTAGTACTATAGAAGAAAAATACTTGAGTGCTAGTTAGGTACACATGGGACCATCTAGCTCAGCCCAGAGTACCTCACAGACTTCCCAGAGGACAAGATGTTGGAGTTTAACCTAGAAGGAGGATAAATTGATCTGAGAAAATGGAACAAAGAACAGTGGAAACACCATCAGAAACAATCTACCCAGAGCCAGGGCATGAGTGAGGGTAGACAGCAAAACAGACAGTGTTGGGGTCAGAGCTCCAGGTTCTCACTGGACAGTGGACCCTGAAAGCTCGGGAGAACCACCAAATATACTTACATTCACTAGCACTGAAGGGTTTTTATGCAGAGAAACAGCAAAATCTAATTGACCTTTAGAAGGATCGAGCTGACATTGGGAGGAAGAAGACATCCCTTTTGAGAAAGTTTTTAAAGCCCCACAGCTGAGGGCAAGATTATTAGAAACAATGGCCATGGCATGGAACCTCTTAGTGTGAGCACTAAATTTTAAAAAGTATCACGAGTGCATGCCTTATAGTCCCAGCACTCAGGAGGCAGAGGCAGAGAAATCTGTATGAGTTCAAGGCCAGTCTGGTCTACAGAGAGAGTCAGGACAGCCAAGGCTACACAGAGAAACCCTGTCTCAAAAACCCAAAAAGAAAAACATACATATGTATGTATATATGTATGTATGTATGTATGTATGTGTGAGTATGTATGTATCACAAACAAGACAGGTTGAGATCCTCTCAAATTGAGAAAATCAATCAGCTGAGTCACAGACCTAAGGCTAGAGGGGATCCCACAGTGACCCTGGAGGAGGTCTCTACATGAGTGCACCTAGTTCATGTGGCACACCTCTTTCTCAAGATCTCCAGGAGACTGGTTCTAGGACTGTCTTGTCCAAAATCTGGCATGTTCAGTTTCCTGCTTCGAATAACAGACTCGCATACAACCTGCTCACATCCTCCTCTCTGCGTTAAATTATCTCTAAGCGATTAATAACATCCCAAACAAAATTGTTATACATAGTCATAACGTTATACGTAGTGTATTGTTTAGGGACTAATGACAAGAAAGAAGTCTATGCATGATACATGTACGGTACGTGTGCAAGTATTCTAAGCCCAACGATAATTCCCCTCCGCAGCTGGTGAACTCCACGGGACAGAATCCGCATACAAGTAAGAAGGGCCCTCTGCATAGCCGCGGCAGCTGAGCTGGGGAACTGAAACGACCATCCCAGTAGCGGAGTCTGCAATAGACGGTAGCTGGAACCATGCAGCACTGGGAGGAACCCGCGGAGAGAAGAGCCACTGAAATGAACACATTGCCCTCTGTTTGCTTATGCACAGTCACTTCAACAGTGGCCCTCCTTTGGCGCAAAACAAATCTTTCACTGCACATTTTGAAGTAAGAGCAAAGTGAGGCATTCAACCATCTCTGAGGTCCCCACCCCCGCGGGGTGGAGGGGTGAGGGGAGTCGGGTCTCAAGTGCTCTGGTCGATTCTGGGATATCAGACATACAAATCTTCTAATGAAAATGCAATGGCCCTTGAGCCATTCTGGCTCCAGGATACTGTAATATTCTCCTTTATAAGGAGGGGTGAGCCAGAGATGAGCCTTCTAAAAAGAGCAAGGAAGGATTCTTGAACACAAGGAGCCAAGATTCTAGGACAACATGAATGTGAAAGCTGTAAAGACGGACAGAGCTATTCTTTTGTCAAGGAATAAAAGGAAATTCGATGGCTCCCAAGCGTTTTGATTTATTGTTAGTACAATAATGGCTATTTACAAAGCACTTATGTCATGCCAGACATTATTTTCAAAATTTACCGGGAAGCCCAGTAACTCTGTGAGATGGATACTTTTATTGTTCCCATTTCACAGGTAAGAAAACAGAGGCACAAAGAGGTGAGTGAGTGGTAATCCATTCTCACTATCAGCTGAAACCAGGGAGCTTGCCTTTTAAGTCAACACCAAGGAAAATTGCATTTGGGTTGCATTATGCTTCTGTTGATATTATTAGCAGCAGATTCAAATGAGATTTTGAGTAATTTGTTTTGAGTAGGAAGCATATGCCTAGTTCTTAATTCACACTTCGGGGAATTTTAATTTCTCATTGTGCTTTCGTGTGGCCTGTATTATTTGCACAAGCATGATTAGAATATCTAAAATAAACAGTGGCTTTTAGACAAACAGCTGCCTAGCAGACAATCTCAGAGAAAGTTCACACTGAAGCCCCTTTCTCACAAAATATCTCCCATCTTATATAGGAATTTATTTCTGTTTTTTTTTATGAACTCCAGGACTCAGAAATAGACATATTTATTTGGTTTGGCCTTAGTCTGGTGTGTTGTGCTTGGTCTATTCTTTCTAGTTTATTGTATCTCCAAATCTTCTACACACGAACCAGAGACCCGGTGATGGGGGCACTGGAAAATCCAAACAAAAGATAAGCACCGGCTCTAAGATCCCTTGTAAATGGGCGCTTAATGAAGTAGTTTCTTTGGGAATGATTGGCGTTTGTGATGCCACCAAGTTACACACCACAGTGATCATCATAGCAGGAGTCCTTTGCCTCTAATTGCCTTAAAAATCTGATTGCTGCTTTGCATAGTGAAACAAAATAGTTTCTTGCTTTGAAGTGTGAGCGTGATTTTATTTTATTTGTATTTTTCATCATCTTTTTATTTTGCATGCCAATCCTAGTTTTCACTCTCTCCCCTCCTCCTGCCACCCCCTCCTTCCCCTACCCCCTTACCCCTTGTCCATTCCTCAGAGAGGGTAAGGCTTCCCATGGGGAGTCAATGAACTTTGAGGCAGGACCAAGGCCCTCCCCCTTAAATCAAGACTGAGCAACATATTTCTCCAAAGAGAATGGGCTGCAAAATAGCCAGCTGAAGCACTAGGGATAAATCCTGGTCCCACTGTCAGTGACCCACAGACTGTCCAAGTCCCACTACTGTCACCACATTCAGAGAGCCTAGTTTGGTCCTATCCAGCACCCCACCCACCCACTGTCAGTTCAGAGTCAGTGAGTTCCCATTAGCTGAGGTCAGCTGTTTCTGTGGGTATCCCCAAAATGGTCTTGACCCCTTTGCTTCTCTTCAGCTGGACTCCAGGAGCTCTGCCCAGTGCTTAGCTGTGGATCTCTGCATCTGCCTCCATCGGTTGCTGGATGAAGGTTCTATGATGATAAATCAGGTAATCATTCATCTGATTACAGGGAAGGCCAGTTCAGGCACCCTCTCCACTGATGCTTAGGGTCTTAGCTGGGGTCATTCTTGTGGATTCCTGGGAGTTTCCCTGGTTCCAGGCCTCTCAGTAGCACCATAGTGACTCCCTCAATCAAGTTATCTCTTTCCTTGCTCTCCCTCTCTGACTTCCCCCATCTTGACTATCCTGTTTCCTTGTGTTCTCCTCTCCCTTCCTTCTTCACCTCCCCCTCCCCTTCCACTATTCCTTCTCCCACTCCCTACCCACCATGCTCCCAATTTCCTCAGGAGATCTTATCTGTTTTCCTTTCCCAGGGGCATCCACATAGGACTCTCAGGGTTCTCCTTGTTACCTAGCTTCTCTGGTGTCATGGACTACAGGCTGGCTATCCTGTGTTTTGCATCTAATGTCCACTTATGAATGAGTACATACCATGTTTGTCTTTCTGTGTCTGGGTTACCTGGGTCGGGATGGTTTTCTTCTAGTTTCAACCACTTGCCTGCGAATTCCAAGATGCATGGATGTGAATCTAGAAGCCCCTTCTCCATGAAGCTTTACTCACCAGCTATCTTTTCCCACCTCCTCTTTCAGAGTTCAGTAAGACTCCAGCCTCTTTCCTCAGTGTCCACTGAACAACTAGAAGAGACCTTCCCCAACCCTCCACTCACAGAAGCCTGGAAGTGCTCTGCTAGTGCTGGTACCAATAGTGGGGCACATATGCTTCAAATTGTCCCTACTTAAAACCGACTTAAATGCTTGGCTTAAAATTGTATTTGTGCATAGAAGCACAGCCAGTGCAGATGAGCCCTCTCTCCAGCTCCAAGTTCATCCATTTTTCACTCTCTAAAAGTCAAGAGTGTGTTATCCCTGTGTTCAAGTGCCCGGGAATAGCCTGTGGACTGCCACAGAGCTTCCCATCCTGGCGGGAACCAAGCACCCCAGATCCCAGGTCTTCTCTTCCACCAAAGGTACCAGGTGACCAGGTAAGAGATTACACACCACAGATCCCTGGGCTTCTTCTTTACCCACGGGACCAGAACTATGACCAGGAACAGTAGAACTACCAGAGTATTGGACTTGCTTGCACCCACTGAAAGGGAACTCTGGTCCCCTAACCACCAGACCAGTAAGGGGCTCTTTTTGTACCCAGTAGAAGAAGAGATGGGAAAGAGACAGCACAAAAACACACTCAGCAACAGAAAAACAAATATGACACCGCCAGATTCTAGAGACTCCACACCAGCAAGACTCCATTCCAGTGCAAATGAAGCAGAAGAGAAGGACCTTAAAAACAACGTCATGAAAATGATAGAGGCCCTAAAAGAGGATATAGGAAAATCTGTCAAAAAAATTGAAGAAAAAACAAACAAAAATTTGCAAGAAATGGAAGAAAAAAAATTCACAAAAAGCAACAAATGGATGAAAAGATGAACCAAAAATTGCAAGAGACAATTGAAACAGTGCAAGGGTTGAAAACTGAAATAGAGACAATAAAAAAACATAATCTGAAGAAAGGCTGGAAATAGAAAAGCTAGGCAAACAGTCAGGTACTACAGATACAAGCATTACCAACAGAATACAAGAGATGGAAGAGAGAATCTCAAGTGTTGAAGATACACTAGGAGAAATTGATTCATCAACCAAAGAAAATCTTAAGTACAACAAATACCTAACACAAAACATTCAGGAAATATGGGACACCATGAAAAGACCAAATCTAAGAATAATAGGTATACAAGAAGGTGAAGAAAACCAAATCAAAGGGGCAGAAAACATATTCAACAAAATCATAGAAGAAAACTTTCCCAACCTAAAGAAGACATGTCAATGAAGGTACAAGAAGCTTACAGAACACCAAATAGAGTAGACCACAAAAAAAGTCCCCTCGCCACATAATAATCAAGACCCGAAATGTAAGGAATAAAGAAAGAATATTAAGAGCAGCTAAGGAAAAAGACCAAGTAACATATAAAGGCAAACCTATCAGAATTACACCTGATTTCTACATGGAAACTCTGAAAGCCAGAAGGTCCTGGATAGATATTCTACCAACACTAAGAGACCATGGATGCCAGCCCAGACTACTATACCCGGCAAAGCTCTCAATCATTATAGATGGAGAAAACAAGATATCCCATTGCAAAACTAGATTCAAGCAATACATATCCACTAACCCAGCCCTACAGAAAGTTCTAGAACAAAAACTCCAACCCAAGGAAGTTAACTACAACCAGAAAAACATAGGCAACAGATAATCCCACTTTACCAACAGCCAAAAGAAAAAAAGGGGATGAATTCCACACATAATTCCACCAACAACAACCATTCCAAATCAAAGAAGAATGAGCAATCAATGATCATTAATATCCCTCAATATTAATGGCCTTAAGTCACCCATAAAAAGACACAAGCTAACAGAATGGATTCAAAGACAGACCCATCCTTCTGCTGCATGCAAGAAACACATCTCACCATCAAAGGCAGACATGACCTCAGAGTTAAAGGGTGGGAAAAGATTTTCCAATCAAATGGACCCAAGAAACAAGCGGGATAACAATCCTAATATCTAACAAATTAGACATTAAAATAAAATCAATCAAAAGTGATGAAGGATGCCATTATATACTCATCAAAGGAGAAATCCACCAAGATGAAGTTTCAATTCTGAACATCTATGCCCCAAATACAAAGGCATCCACGTTCGTAAAAGAAGCATTACTAAAACTCAAATCACATATAAAGACCTACATACATATAGAGGGAGACTTCAACACCCCACTCTCACAACTAGACAGGAATACTAGACAGAAACTTAACAAAGAAGCAAAGGGTCTAATAGAAGTTATGACAGAATTGGGATTAAAAGACATCTATAGAACATTGCATCTACATAAAAAAGAATATACCTTCTTCTCACCACCACATGGAACATTCTCAAAGATCGACCACATACTTGGCAACATGTACCTCAGCAGGTACAAAAAAATTGGAATAACTCCATGCATCTTATCAGACCACCATGTGTTAAAATTAGAATTCAATAACAACACATATTGCAGAAACCATACAAATTCATGGAAATTGAATAAAGCACAATTGCACCATTCCTGGGTCAAAAAAGAAATTAAAAAAAGAAATTAAAGACTTCCTAGAATTCAATGAGAATGAAGACACAACATACCCAAACCTATGGGACACTTTGAAAGCAGTGCTACGAGGAAAGTTCATAGCAATAAGTGCCCACATGAAGAAACTGGAGAACAGTTATACTAGAGAATTAACACCACAGCTGAAAGCTCTAGAACACAAAGAAGCAAACTCCCCCAGGAGGAGTAGACTCCAGAAAATAATCAAACTGACGGCAGAAATCAATAAAGTAGAAACTAGGAAAACAATACAAAGAATCAATGTAACGAAGAGTTGGTTCTTTGAGAAAATCAACGAGATAGACAAACCTTTGTCCAAACTTACCAAACAGCAGAGTGTGAACATGCAAATTAACAAAATCAGAAATGAAAAGGGGAC